TCCTGCTGATGACTCAGCTCTACCAAGGCACTACACCTGGGTAGGTAAGTTCATTTTGTGGTGTTAAGTTTTTGGGTGTTTACTGACTGCTTAAGAGCTGTTGGTTTTCTTTTAATAAAACTCTAGAGGAGTACATAGGCAGCTAGTGTGATTGAAGCATTGGAGGTGTACATGTGGGAGATGGTATAGCCTAGGATGGCAGGACAGGGAGAGGCCAGATCACACAAGTCCTTAGGCCACATGAAAAGTTTGGATTTCATTTTATACCAATGGGAAGTCACTGGAGGATTTTAAGCAGAAAACGGCCTGATTTTGTGTATGTTTTCAAAAGATCTTTCTAATTGCTAAGTGGAGAATTGATTGGAAGACAGGAAGAGTAGAAGCCAGAAGATACGGAGCATGTTTAGAACCTTAGTAAGAGATGATAGCCTCTTAGACCAGAGTGGTAGCAATGAAGATGGGGAAAAGTGATGGATGCATTTAAGAATTATCTGGAGAATTTTCTTCAAGGGTGGCTTAAAACCAGTTATTTTATGCGTAAGTTCCAGAGTCTGAGTATATACTTTAAAACCTATTTTTCCCCCCAGAATGACTGAGGAGTCAGAGCTAATGGTAGATTGAGGTTAACAGTCTGCAGTATCACATTCGTTAATAATCTCTGGACTGGGGGTGGAGGTGGAGGATGGGTGAAGCCTACCTTCCAGGAAAGAGAGCAGAGTCCTGTACCTTCTCTTAATTCTATTGACTAAAACCTTGGAAACTAGAGAAATTTTCTTCCTACCCTCTCTCTTATGATATGTAAAAGAAAGCAGAAATGTTCAAAACCTGCTTCTCAGCTCAAATGCTAACAGCATAATAAAGTGTACAGAAATGAGGAAAATAATTAAGCCTTCCTCTCTTAACCCTCGTTCACATCATATTTACAAATAGGCATTTTCCCTCCCCCTTTGCCTTACCGGGTCAACAAGTACATACTGAGTATCTGCTACATGTCCAGCCCTGGGGTCTTCCCATTAGAGGTAAAGAAGTGTAAGACAGTTCCTGACTTCTAAAATGTTATAATCTTCAGTGGGGAGATGAATGAAAAATCATGAAGCCATTCATAATCAGTTCAAGATGATAGGAAATGCTGCATAATTAAGCACTAAGAGAGTATGGTACAGATGACAAATACTACTGGAATACAGAGTAGGAAAAGGCAGAAGAAAGGGATTGGAAACTAACGTCTATGAAGCATCAACTCATACTAGGCATTGGACACTCGAACACTCATGTCATTCTCACCCCCCTCCTACAACAACAGGATTGGGGTCGGGGAGAGACATGTAGGCTGGGGTGGTCACAGAAGGGAACATGAGTGAGTGAGTCTCTTGAGCCAGGCTTGAAAGAGGTGGAGAAGGGTGAAAAAGGTGAAGGAACCGACATAAGTAAATGTGTCAACTAGTCATGTTATGGGGAGTGGGAAAAACTGCTCTGGAACCCTAGGACGGAGCATGAATATGGAGAGCCTCAGACACCAGGCAGACCCTTGAGATATATTTTAGTCAGAAATGGCAAGACAGTGACGATTACTGGACAAAATAAAAATATCTTGTGTCATTAATCACCGTTTAAAACGGTAGAGGAAGAATTCTGAAATGGAAGGCAGAGGAACTTACGTGGAGGATGTAGTGTAGGGTCTGTATTCTAGCTTATGGTCGTAGTAGGAGTCTGAAATGAACACATTACCAAAGAGATTCCATAGGAATGAGTGGCAGGACTTAGAGACTGATTAGAGACTTAGAGACTGATAGGCACATAGGAATATATCCTTAATATAGGAGATGGATTCATCAAAGACAGCTCTAGAGGTTTAAGTATAAAATCTGGGGTCAATGTTGGCAGGGAGCAAAGCATGGTAAATAAAACTTGGGCTCTGAAATTAGCAAACCTGAGTGTGAGTCACAGCACCATTACTATGTAACCTTGAGCAAACTACTCCTCTGCATGGGGATAATAATAGTACCTCCTTCCTTGGTTGGCTGTGAGGATTACACAATAATGATTATTGAAAAGCACTTAGAACAGCACCTGGCACACAGTCAACATCCAGTAAGTTTTAGTTATTACTATTATTAAGTCCAGATGTCCTCATTGCAAAATAGTGCTTGTTCTGTTAGGAATTGTGCAAGTTAGGCTTAAATCCCGTTCTCTCACTTCTTTATTTAACATGGAAGAGCTTAATAATGTCAAGTGAGGACATTAGAACCTACTTTATCACAGAAAAAGCTCCTGTACTCTGGATCTTCCCATTTTTAGAACATCATGTGCTCTTAGAGACGTCACCAAATGAATTTCATAGTCCAACAAACTCCATGCATAAGAATGTGAAGGTAATGGTACTTATTTTGTTCAAACAGGCAAAGTCAGGCTGTGAAGATTTAGTGAAACCTTAATTCCACCTGTGGGCGTTTTCAATTCTGTTGCTGAGCACCTCATTTGTTTCAGTCGCTGGGCTACGTGCCCAAGATACAAAGGTGATAAGACCCAGTGATAAGACCTTCCATCCAGTGGGGAAACAGGAAAGAAAATTAACAATTAGAGGACAAGGGGAAGTATTTAGGTGATACTTGGACAATGGAAGAGAGCTACCTGCTGAGAACGTTGCTCAGACTTTGGGGAGTTTTGGCATTTAAAGAAATGTGATAGAGTCAGTCTTGGTACCTGGTAATACAGAAGATGCATCATATTAAGACACGGGATTTGCTTCAAAACGAGTGGCATTTAGAGCCTAGTTAGATTTTTGTCTGTTTCATAATCCTCCACATTCCCCACCCTGCCCTGACTAGGCCAGTCCACTAAACACTGGGGCCATTTAATACAAATAAGAGGAGAAGTTTTATTGTTTGGGATAAAGAGACAACAAAGAGTGTGCATGTGGCCTTGAAAGAAAGGAAGTACTCAGAGAGCACTGAAACAAAATGAAGATTTGAGAATTGGGAACAAAAGTAACAAAAAGCTGGCACCCTGGAGTTACTGAGAGTAAACAGTCTCCCGATGCCTGGGACAACAGAACTGTGAGTAGAGTCTACTTACAGTCTACTACAATTCTCAATTATAAATACAGTTATTTGGAGATTAGGACATTTGTTTGGTAAATAATTCAGAAACTTTTCATATCAATAGAAGCTGCCACTGTTCTCATTAAAGAAAGGTATTTAACAGTATAATTGACAATAATATTATATAACAATGGCGCCACTTGCCTCCTCCACTGTTTAAAACTGGGTTTGTTAAAAGCACATGAGGGACTTCCCTGGTAGCACAATGGTGAAGAATCTGCCTGCCAATGCAGCGAACATGGGTTCGATCCCTGGTCCAGGAAGATCCCACATGCCGCGAAGCAACTAATCCTGTGCGCCACAACTACTGAGCGTGCGCGCCTAGAGCCTGTGCTCTGCAACAAGAGAAGCCACTGCAATGAGAAGCCCATGCACTGCAGTGAAGAGTAGCCCCCGCTCTCTGCAACTAGAGAAAGACCGTGGGCTTCAATGAAGACCCAACACAGCCATAAATAAATAAAATTTTTTTTAAAAGGCCAATGAGAGTATTCTGGCTAATAAATAAAGAAGAAATGAGAGAAATAGAATGTCATCATTTTTGTTAATAAATAAAGAAAAAATGAGAGAAATAGAATGTCATCATTTTTGTAACACCTAATGAACAAATGGGTCTGGCCGATAGTCGTCAATGGCTACTAATTTCACAGAGTCAAGCAGATATTAGCTACCTTCTGATGGAAGTACAAAACACCATCTATAACATCTTGCCAAAACAACCAACCAACCAAAAAAAATTCTAACCCAAATCTGAGTAAGCCTCTTTATTTAGCTACCAATTTATAGGAAATATGTGGTTCAGAGGAACACACTATGGGGGTTGCAATCCTCAAGATCTAGGCTATGAGAATCTGCCAGGTAAATGACCTTTCTTTAACAAATAAATAGAAAGGAAAAGGAAAAAAAAAATGGTTGGGGAACATATGGACCTGTTCCGTCCAATATAGTAGCCAGTAGCCACATGTGGCTACTTAAATTTAAATTGGTTAGAATTCAATAAAATTTAAGATGCATTTCCTGGGGAATTCCCTGGAGGTCCAGTAGTTAGGACTCCACACTTTCACTGCCGAGGGCCCAGGTTCAATCCCTGGTCGGGGAACTGAGATCCCACAAGCTGCTCAGCGTGTCCAAAAAAATAATAATAATAAAAATAAAAATCATTTCCTCAGTTACACTAGACTCATTTTAGGTGCAATGGCAGAAAGTTCTATTGGACAGCGCTGCTATAGACAGAGGTGTGCGATCTGTTTCCATTGCATAGATCTTATTTGAATCCTAATTCAAGAAAATAGAATTTAAAATTTTAAACAGGGAAATTTGAACTGACCAGATATTTAATGATATTAAAGAATCGTTTAAATAATTAGGTGCGATAATAGTATGGTGATAATCTTTTTTTAAAAAGAGAGTTCTTATATGTAAGAGGTACATGCTGAAACAGATACAGATGAAATAAAATGATATCTGACATTTGCTTTTAAATAGTATGAGGAGATAAAACAAAATTGGCTACTAATATTTTGATTATTGTTGAAATTGGGTGAGAGGTACAGTAATGATTCATTCGAATTATTCTCTTTGCTTTTATAAATGTTTGCCACTTTCCCTAATAAAAATGTTCTCATTTTACATGTTTGAAACGTTCCATAATATAATAACATTTTTTTAAAAGAAGCAGACAAGCAGCTACCTGTTTTGTTTTTTTTTTTTTTTTTTTTTTTGGCTCTGTTGGATCTTCGTTGCTATGCGTGGGCTTTCGGTAGTTACGGCGAGTGGGGGCTACTCTTTGCTGCAGTGCGTAGGCTTCTCATTGCGGTGGCTTCTCATGTTGTGGAGCACAGGCTTCAGCAGTTGTGGCAGCAGACTCAGTAGTTATGGCTCGCGGGCTCTAGGCTCACAGGCTTCAGTAGTTGTGGCGCACAGGCTTAGTTGCTCCGTGGCATGTGGGATCTTCCCAGACCAGGAATCAAACCCACATCCCCTGCACTGGCAGGCAGATTCTTAACCACTGCATCACCAGGGAAGTCCCGCAGCTACCTGTTTAAATGCGACTGGCTGGGTATTTGCTAAGTGGCACCTCTTTAGCAATAGCACTCAAAACATTCCGTTCCTCTTAATGGCTCCATGTACCAAGAACACAGACCGATCAGTTTCTTCCTTAAAAGATGTTGTATAGACTCTCTTCTCTCCCATCTCTTTTTACCTGGAGAACAAAAGAGGAGAAAAATGTTGCGTGAAAAGTGTGCATTCTTTCCACTGGTCTCCCAGAAGGTGATAGTACAGATCCCAGCCATTCTGGGATCTTGGGCCAACAAGAAGCCAGTAGACAAGTGTCTTTATAGAATATCAGAGAAGGCATGGTTAGTGAAGTTGTGCCATTTTTGTATGGCTTGTTCAAAGTTGCATTCAACCATTTGAGTATAGTTGTAATGGCTGACCCAATAGCCAAAAGCCTGGAGTGCTGGTGCCAGCCATAGCAATCTCCATCTATGGTGGGAGGAAGAATGGTCCTTAATCTGTCTGTAAGGCTTCGTCACCCAACTTCCTCATACTTGGCATCCCCCAGCTAGATTGATGAGTTTTGCATAATATATGCAACACAAAATATGGCAACACAAATAAAATTTTATTAACAATGATTCATTCTTGTAAAAATATTTCCATAGCACTCCCAAAATAAACTTTTATGAGAAATAAAGGGAGACAAAGGCTTCTGCCAAGTTGAGGACCACTTCCTAAACCCCTCTCCATCTCACCCTATTCATTCCCTGTTGATGATTTTGCTTTCCTGTCTTTCAAGTGCAACTCATCGTTGGAACGTCTTTGCATAGCCCCATCCTGGAAGCTCTGTGATGTGTGGATCGTGAGTTTGTTCAAGCAAATTGGACTCTTTACAAGGAATAGCTAGATTTGAAGACTAGGATGGAAGAGCCAGCACCAGTGGAAGGCCAGGGCCAGCTCCCAAGCCCCCACCAGGGCTCTCTGAGGAAAGCCATGGCAGCTGCCCTGGCCCTTGATGGGGAATCCACACTGGGTCGCAGGAAAAAGAAGAAGAAAGAGTCCCGCCCAGAATCTATTATCATCTACCGGTCAGAGAGTGAGAAACTGGATGAGAAGCCTGGGGAATTAGAAGGTGGAGATCAGCCTAAAGAGGAGGAGGGAGATGATTTCCTAGACTATCCTGTGGATGATGGTAAGTCTCTCTGGGGCCTCCTACTTAAAGCCACAGGAAGGAAACCAAATGAGGATCCTCCAGGAGAGAGACAGGCATTTGCTCACTGACGTACTTCTTATTGATACATTTCTTCTCGCAGCGTTGCAGTCTTCATTCAACACATCGATAGTATTTGTTGAGCATTTATTATGTTCTCTCCTAGGTGATACGGAAGAGATCTCTGCCCTTTTGGAACTCCTTGTGTAATGGAAGAGACCGATTTATACACAAAAAATAGTAGTACAAGACAACCATGCTAACTATTTAATACATGTAAGATAAAGAAACTAATATTTGACTTTCATAATAATCAGGAAAATGCGAATTATAACAGTGAGTTATAGTAATCCTTCACATGTAGGATGGCCAAAAATTGGGTAAAACATGATAACATCAATGTGTGGAAATGGATATATCCTCGTATACCTCATGTGGAAGAGGAATCCGCTTCAGGGAAATTTGTCAATATCTATTAAATTTAAAATTCAAAATATGCATAGCCTATGTCCAAGAAATTCTCAGTATCTACCTCATGCCCATGTGCGTAAGGAAGCATGTATAAGAATGTTTGTTGCTGTTAAGGAAACTGTGGAGTGTCCATATTAGGTGTCACTACACAGCAATCGATGGATGAGGTAGATCTCTGTGTCGATGGTCACCCCTAAGACATACGCCCATGGTGAACGAGACGAGCAATGCCCCTGCCCTCATTCAGTTTACCTTCCAGTCAGGGGAAAACAGACAGCAAAAAGTCAGCAGATAAGAGACAATTACAGGTAGTGGTATGGGTTCCAAAGACAGTAAACCTCAGTGATGGGAAGATGAGCAAGTGAGGGAGGCGGGTGGAGGGAAAGATTGTATGGTTGGGGGTGCCTCTCGGAGGAAGGGACATTTGCTCTTGAGGCAGCCCCATTCTGTCCGTCTACCAGCCAGGGGGCTAGGAGCCACAGGGCCTGGGGGACATGCCAACCGAAAGCCTATACCCTCCTCCCATCCTCCACTTCTAGACTACACTTCACATACTAAGGACAGTGGACTTTGCTGTTTCACTACCTGCAATCTCACTGCTGGGATGGCCAAAGAGTGGCTGTTTGGTGGGGGTGGTGGTGATGGTAGTGATGGTAGTGGTGGTGATGATGGTGATGCTGGTGGTGGTGACGATGGTGATGCTGGTGGTGGTGATGCTGGTGATGCTGGTGGTGGTGATGCTGGTGATGCTGGTGGTGGTGGTGGTGATGCTGGTGGTAGTGGTGGTGATGATAGTGATGCTGGTGGTGGTGGTGATGATCATAGTGATGCTGGTGGTGGTGGTGATGATCATAGTGATGCTGGTGGTGGTGATGATGGTGATGCTGGTGGTGGTGATGCTGGTGGTGGTGGTGGTGATCATAGTGATGCTGGTGGTGGTGATGATAGTGATGCTGGTGGTGGTGATGCTGGTGGTCGTGGTGATGCTGGTGGTGGTGGTGATGGTGATGCTGGTGGTGATGCTGGTGGTGGTGGTGGTGGTGGTGATGCTGGTGGTGGTGGTGGTGGTGGTGGTGGTGATGCTGGTGATGATGGTGATGCTGGTGGTGGTGATGCTGTTGATGATGGTGATGCTGGTGGTGATGATGCTGGTGGTGGTGGTGCTGGTGGTGCTGGTGGTGGTGATGATGGTGATGCTGGTGGTGGTGATGCTGGTGGTGGTGGTGATGGTGATGCTGGTGGTGGTGATGCTGGTGATGATGGTGATGCTGGTGGTGGTGATGCTGTTGATGATGGTGATGCTGGTGGTGATGATGCTGGTGGTGGTGGTGCTGGTGGTGCTGGTGGTGGTGATGATGGTGATGCTGGTGGTGGTGATGCTGGTGGTGGTGGTGATGGTGATGCTGGTGGTGGTGATGATGGTGATGATGGTGATGCTAGTGGAGGTGATGCTGGTGATGCTAGTGGAGGTGATGCTGGTGGTGGTGATGATGCTGGTGTATTTTTGTTGGGGAATGTGTGTATACTGTGCGTGTGTATGTGTGGTGCCTGTGTGTGTACAGAATTTGGATATGACGGCTGGGATGTCCACCAGCATATGAGGAGGACCCTCTCAGAGAAGCATGGGGTTAGGAATGAGGAGAGAAGAGGGGTAGGCTGCTCATCAGTATAACACACACACAGCACCACCTTTACACACAGTAGCTGATGCTCAGAAACAGTATTTTCACAGCACTTGTAAACTAGAAATAAAGTCACTATGAAGTGGTGTCTGTGGTGGAGTTCCTTACTCCCCTCCATATCACAGACATGATAGAGGCCCAGAAAAGTGGAGAGAGAATATGAGAAACAAGTTTAACCTGCTTCAGGGCCCTAATGTGAGAGTTTACCATGGGAGTACTAATCCCTCCCCTGAGGGAAACCCATTCAGTCCATCGTGGAAACACTGATTTCGTACCATGTCAGGGTGTACCGTGTCAGGGGCTATAATAATGGACATTCTTGTACTCAGCTCCAGTCTCAGGGGATGACGCTCTGATGAAATGTCTACTCTTCTGATCTTGACTTTCCCCTCTTTATGCCCTGCAGGTATGTGGAACATGCCTGTGGACAGCCGCTATGTCACATTAACTGGGACCATCACCCGAGGGAAGAAAAAGGGGCAGATGGTGGACATCCATGTCACATTGACAGAGAAGGAGCTGCAGGAACTCACCAAGCCTAAAGTGTCTTCAAGGGAAATGGCCCCTGAAGGCAGAAAGGCCTGCCAGCTGGGAGCAGACCGTGGGCCCCATGTGGTCCTCTGGACGCTGGTCTGCCTGCCTGTGGTTTTCATCCTCTCCTTCGTGGTCTCTTTCTACTATGGCACCATCACCTGGTACAATATCTTTCTTGTGTACAATGAGGAGAGGACCTTCTGGCACAAGATCTCATGCTGCCCCTGCCTCATTCTCTTCTATCCAGTGCTCATCATGGCCATGGCCTCTTCCCTGGGCCTCTATGCTGCCGTGGTCCAGCTCTCATGGTCCTGGGGAGCATGGTGGCAAGCTGCCCGGGACATGGAGAAAGGCTTCTGTGGCTGGCTGTGCAGCAAGCTGGGTCTGGAAGACTGTTCTCCCTACAGCATTGTGGAGCTGCTTGAATCTGACAATATCTCAGGCAATCTGTCCAACAGGGATGCCACCCAGGATGTAGAAACATCCACTGTCTAAACTCCCAACAACTTACTTGATTCTCTGGTCTCAGTAGCCTGTATATCATCTTCCAATTTCAGAATATTCCTTCTTTAAATTATTCCTCCCCCGGCTTCCCCCGTACACAGTTCTTCTGGAAAATTTTAGCCCACACTGATCTGTCCTACCATCTTGTTGGTTTCCAGGAGGGCAGAAAACAGAAAAGCAATTTGTGCCCAAATAGTCCATCCAGTGGATAAACTCTTCTTCATTCCTTGCCCTAAGATGACCATTTTTCTGAGACAAGGGAGCTCAGGTGTGTGTCAGTTCAGGAGCTTGGAGGTGTTCCTGGTGCCTGGAACCCAGGGGAGATGTGACTAAATGTGACAGGGAGAATAAGGAGGCTCACGGGAGACCCCAGTCCACCAATAAGATAATAGATAGGGATGGAGTAAAATATTTAAGAAGCAGGCTGCAACAGTGTAGCAGAATGTAAAGATATGTGTGTATCACTTAGATTTTGATTTATATATTAAATATAATTAAAATCCAAATATCAGTAGTTTAAACAAGATAGAAGTCTGTTTCTTCCCTGTATAGAAGAAGTCTGGAGGCAGACCATCAGGGAAATTGATGAAGTCATCAGAATCCCAGGCTTTTTTTATTCCCCAACCCTCACTGCCTTTATCCTCAGCACCCAGTGCTGACTGCATCTCCAGTCATCACATCCCTGTTTCAGATAAAACAGAGGAAAGGGCAACGAAGAGCACATACACCCTCCTAGGCTAAGGTGGCTTCTCAGAAGGCCCCCTCAACACTTCTTGTATTTCATTGGCCAGACCATAGTCACATGACCTCACAAGCAAGAAAGGCTGGGAAATGTAGTCTTTTGGCCGGGCAGCTATATTCTAAATGTTTGGGTTCTGCTAATTTAAGAGACAAGGAAATAATGGCTATTTTGGTAGGCAAGTAAGAATCTCTGGCTCACAGTAATTATTTAAATACATTCAGATCCAAAACTGTGAATACAGTTTTATTTATGTATGTATTTATTTATTTAAGCCTAAATATTACACAGAGAATTTATACATAGATACTAGCTACATATACTATGCATAAACCACACGTAGATATTAGCAACTCATGTATGTTGCAATTAAATATCTATAATACCATGTGGTTTCAGGTTTTTTAGAAAGGAAGAGTGAATAGTTGAGTACAATTATATCATAGTAGCATAGCTTTCTTCCTGGTAGTGAAGGTGATGTTTAGTTTAACGTACAGATGAAAGACTGCGAAGGGAGGCATTGCATCTGTCAGACTTTCTCCCAGCAGCGTCAGCAGCCCTAAGCACAAGAAGACAGTTAGCTTTGTGTGGTTTGTCAAAACTCACTCAGAGCCTCACTCACTCAGAACTTTTCGTCTCACAGCAAACAGTCTTTGCTGTGCTGAAAACCTTGGGTCTTTGTGGACACTGAGGGTGTAAACCAGATGGATCCAGATTAATAGATTCTGAACTTTAAAAAAATATTCCTGAGGGTCTCTTTCCAATTTCAAAAAAATCAAATCCTAAGAGGTCAAGCAGATTTTGGAGGTTTGAGTCCTTTTAAGAATAGCTGGTGCCCTATTCATGGTTCATGTCTCAGGAAGAAGCTGTTGAAAGAACTGCTGTGAATCAAACCAAATGGGTCAAGCAATGCTGTCCCACAGAAGGCCAGGACATTTGCCTGATGCCTGGTGCTGAACTCCACCTTCAAAGGAAACCCCTCCTTTTTAAAAATAACTATTATTAGTTTGGAAAAAAAAAAAAAAACTCTCCAACACATTTGAAGATAATGTTGGTGCTCTCTGGTGCTTTTGCAGAGATATAAACAATTGAAATGAAGACAAAATAAAAATAAAATCAGATTAACGTTTGCTCACTTTGTCTTTGAGTTTCTCCAAAATTGCTTTGAACGCTACAGTTTTTAGAAAAGGTTGAGCGTGGTGACTATTTTATATATGTATAATGATCTTAATATGGGTCCTTATGTCTTGACTCTTCCTATAGACCACCAATTTATGAGGATTCTCTTTAGCTGGATTTTTTCCACAGATCGCAGACTTACCTAAGGCTACATTAGGAAGTTGCAGCCACATTTGTCACATTTTTTTCAGGGGTTAAGGAAACAAATGGCCAAGGCGAAAAACAGTCATGATTAGGACAAGGGTAAGATGTCCCTGGCAGAATGAAGGAGGGTGGGGTCAGGGTAAGGAGCATGGGATACCTAGGTGAAGTTGATGTAACCCTCACCCTAATTGGGCTCGCCACCTAGTGGAAGAAATAGGCTCATAAAATAAAACCATTTCAAAAGCTCAGAGAGGTATGTAAAAGCCTAGACCTGAGGAAGGAAAACTTAACCAAACAGACGTAAAGCAATCTCATCTTTGCTGTCAGCAAATACCTAGAGAATTTTAGAGGAGAAATTAGAGAGTTAAATGCCATACTTGAACATTCTGTTAGCTCATAGTTACCTACTCTTCATGGTGAATATCAGGAAGGAGGACTATGCTTTCCAATTACTCTGCAGCCATAATATGCTGAGCTTGGTAAACCATGTCTGATCCAGTATGATGATGCCAATGTTCCCAAGCCATCTTGTCCATCGACATTAGGTAGCGCCCTTCATTTCAAGTCCAAGTGGAACAAAACCCCTGTTATCCATGCTTTCTAATAAAAAAGGTTCTAAATCTTAAGAAGAACTAATTTTAGATGACTTGAAAGTTTCATTGCGTCATTGATACCAGGCCACCTAGGGCTTAAGTTTTACAGTGTTGCAAATGATTAGTGGCCAACATCAGAAATTTTACCCTCCTTGAATGTAAATTGGTGCAGCCACTATGGAGAACAATATGGAGGTTCCTCAAAAGCCGAAAAATAAAAATAAATAAATTAAATTAAATTAAAAAACGAAAAATAGAACTACCATATGACCCAGCAATCCCACTACTGGGCATATATCCAGAGAAAACCATAATTCAAAAGGACACATGCACCCCAATGTTCATTGCAGCACTATTTACAATAGCCAGGACATGGACGCAACCTAAATGCCCATCAATAGAGGAATGGATAAAGAAGATGTGGTACATAAATACAATGGCATATTACTCAGCCATAAAAGGAATGAAATTGGGTCATTTGCAGAGATGTGGCTGGACCTAGAGACTGTCATACAGAGTGAAGTAAGAGAAAAACATCTCCTATTAACGCATATATGTGTAATCTAGAAGAATGTTATAGATGATATTTGCAAAGCAGAAATAGAGACAGACATAGAGAACAAATATGGATACCAACAAGGAAAGGGGGGGTCAGTGGGATGAATTGGGAGATTGGGGTTGATGTATATACACTATTGATACTATGCATAAAATAGATAACTAATGAGAACCTACTGTATAGCTCAGGGAACTCTACTCAATGCTCTATGGTGACCTAAATGGGAAGGAAATCCAAAAAAGAGGGGATATATGTGTACACATAATGCTCATTCACTTTGCTGTACGGTAGAAACTAACACAACATTGTAAAGCAACTATATTCCAATAAAAATTAATTTTAAAAAAAGAAATTTTCCCCTCTTCGATTAATTTAATTACTAACATGAGCCTGTTGAAATACTTTCTAGGCCCAAGATGAAGCCACTCCTGCCTAGGTGCCACATCAGCAAACCAAAACTTAGGTCACTTTTGCATCCCTTTAAATGTTCTGCTTGACCAGAAATGTAGTACAATCGTCCCTGGCATCAGTGGTGGATTGGTTCTAGGACCCCTGTGGAGACCCAAATCCATGGATGCTCAAGTGCCTTATATAAAATGGTAGTACAGCCGGCCCTCCATATCTGTGTTCTGCATCCTCAAATTCAATGAACCAGGGGTTGAATTTGATCTGCAGTCAGTTGAACCTGTGGTTGCCCAACCCATGCATATGGTGGGCCGACTGTATATCCAGTCAGCCAACCCCCAAATAGCAAGCCAGCTCGGGCTCTATACTTCTTTCCTTGTTCCTTCTCGCTCCAAACAAGGCTGACTATGTGGCCACAGCCAATCTGATATTTTCTATTTTTCTCTTCCTTATTCATTATTATCTATGCTGTAAAAGCTTCCTGCCTTTGTCTCATTTTGTTGTCCTTTGAATGGAAACAGTCTGTTTCATAAAGTGTTAAATAAAATTTGTATCATTGAAATTGTCTTCTTTAATCATTTTTAACAAGCATTTTACGTGTTTTTTTAATGTATTTTAAAATCACATAGAATATGGTACATCACCACTCACATCTTTCTGGGATATAAACTTTTATTTCATATCTGTACCACGTTAAGATTTTAAACTAATTTTTCCAATTGCCCATATAAGCATTGTTACACCTCTGTCAGACCACAAAGCCTGCACATTTTTATTTTGTATAATGTTCATGAATTCATCACTTACGTAGTTCACTCTCAGAGCAATATCAAACTCCAACACATTTCAGCAACTTCAATTGTAATTTCAAAATAAAATTCTTTACTTGCCTTTATTAACTACTCTTAAGGGATGCATATTCTACACTACAGCAAGAGTTTAAAATATCCCTATTGTTTCAGTTATCTCTTGTTGTGTAACACGTAAAACTTACTGCATTAAAATAACCGTCATCTGACTTATTTGCTGGTAATTCTGCGATTTGCGCAGAGCTTGATGGAGATGCCTGGTCTCTACTCAATGTCTCTCTAATGCTGGGACAGCTCCCTTGGGGATGCAGCACCTACTCCCAAGATGGCCTCACTTGCATTTCTGCCAAAGTGGTGCTGGCTGTCATCTGGGTGGGCCCCTGGGGCATTGGTGCTCAGTGCTGGTGTCAGTTTGCTAAGGCTGCCATAACAAATACCATAGACTGGGTGGCTTAAACCACAGAAATTAATTTTCTTGTATTTCCGGAGGCTGCAAGTTTGAGATCAGGGTGCCAGCCAGCACGGTTGAGTTGAGCCTGAGAGCTTCTCCCCTTGGTTTTCAG